ACCAGTTACCATGAAACTGACATTGACAGAGCCTGGGATTTTCAACTTCTCCAACCACCACGCGTGCAATTGGCTATTTTTCATCAAAATTATTTCCTGAAGGAGGGCAAAACTCAGCCAACTCTGCCTGCTGAAATCCCCTCTTCTTTCTTTCATGCAAATGAACTTTGTGGCTATTGAATTCTGAGGAATGACAATGGTGTCCTGGGGCAGGTGGAGGCTGGAAGGAACTGGATTGGGATGGTGGTTGCACAAATATTGATGATATTTGTCAAAACGCATCAGAGCATTCTGTTAAAATCCACATGATTTATGAATGTGAAGTATAGCTTGAGAATAGAGTGCTGGGAAATAAATGCATTCACTACTTATTTGGAAATGAAAAACAATGCTCTCAAAAATGTATTTCTGGGGATTTCCAAAACGATGAAGTAGGTAAATGTTGTGCTTACCTCCTATCAGGACCACATCAAAATTACAACTAAACTACAGAACAACTATCATTGACAATCACCTGAAGTTTAGCTGAACTGAAGCCCTACAACTAAGGACATACAGAAGAAGCCACTTTGAGACTGGTAAGAGGGGTGGAGATGAGGAATGGGCTGGTCCCACACCCATGTGTGACCTTTAAAAATCAGGAGGGATATCTCAGCTGTGGAGGTCCCCCTAGAGGAACGAGGCATCCCAGACCTACAACAGGTTCTCCAGCCCAGAATTCCAGTGCCAAGGAGAGAAGTTCCCATAACTCCTGGCTGTGAAAACCAGTGGAGATTGTGACTGAGTGAGATGGACGGCAGCTGGAGGCCCAGGTGCTCCTCTTAAAGGGCCCACACATGGACTTACTCACTGACAGACTCACTGGCTCTCAGCTCCAGCACTGCAGCAGCAACTTGAAAGGTGCCAGGGACCTATGGGGAGGAACTGAGTTGTATGGCATCAGGATGTGGGCTGGAAGGGTATCTTTCTCCCAGACAGAAGTGCTGGCAGAAGCCATTGTTTCTTTGTTGAGCCCTCTCCCCTCCCATCATGCAGATGCACGCAGCCACCATATCTGAGTCCCTATCAACCTGACTGATGCCATTTGTTTGCCCCTCCCTGATGATTCCCCGAGACTTGCCCCACCCAACTTTCAGGCACACCCAAACCACTTCCAGTGGCTTTTCCATACAAATGGCCTATCTTGGCTCATGCTGCAGATTTTAGTAAACTCTCTCAAAGGTTACAAAACCCAAACGAGCAGCACCTGGCCTCAGTGTATCCCGTATGTTTGGCTGAATAGCCCATATTTCGGCACTAGCGGCAGTCAGCTTTAGTTTATGGCTTGGCCTCTCGAGGCACCTCCAAGCCCAATGTGGGTGATGGCCATCTGAGGGCAGAACACAGGCTGTGGCTGAACTTGACTGGGACGCCCGGTGGCCAGCTTCAGACCGAGCCAGAGCATCACCTGGCTGCCTCCAAAAACGATACACCCAAGAACAGACTGGGCAGGCACCAGGGCCCTGTTAAAGTAAATCCTATTCCATAGGGTCAACCCCTGCACAACAGCTCTTCCACTGTAGTCATGGCCAGTCCTCATAGCCAGCCATCCTGAGAATCAACCTAACCCACTGAAATGCCAACAGCAATTGAGGCTCAACTATAATAGGAGGGCACACACAATGCACACAAGGGACACACCTGGAGCATCTGGCTCAGATGACCCAGGAGACTGTGCCACTGAGCCCCACAACACACTTACCACATAAGGCCACTCTACTAAGACCAGGAGACATAGTAGCTCTACTTAATACATAGAAACAAACACCGGGAGGCAGCCAAATTGGGGAGAAAAAGAAACATGTACCAAATAAAAAAACAGAATAAAGCTCCAAAAAAAGAACTAACCAAAATGGAGACAAGCAACCTACCAGATGTAGAATTCCAAACACTGGTTATAAGGATGCTTAATGATCTCAGGGAGAAGTTCAACAAAAAGATAGGAAACATAAAAATAGAGATAAAAAATATATATATAAAAGTCAGAAATGAAGAATACAATAACTGAAATGAAGAATACATTAGAAGAAATCAACAGTAGAGTAAGCAGAAGATCGAACCAGTGATTTAGAAGATAAGGTAGCAGAAAACATTCAATCAGAGCAACAAAAAGAAAAAAAATCCAAATAAATGATAGTTTAAGGGCCTATGGGACAACATCAAACATACCAACATTTGCATCATTAGGGTACTAGAAGGAGAAAAGAGAAAGCAATGAACTGAAAACTTATTTGAAGAAATAATGATGGAAAACTTCCCTAACCTGGTGAAGGAAATAGACATATAAGCCCAGGAAGTGCGGAGAGTCCCAAACAAGATGAACCCAAACAGGCCCACACATCACCAAGACACATCATAATTAAAATGCCAAAGGTTAAAGACAAAGTAAGAATCTTAAAAGCCACAACATAAAAGCAGTTAGTTACCTACAAGGGAGCTTCCATAATACTATCAACTGATTTCTCAACAGAAACTTTGCAGGCCAGAAGGGTTTGGCACAAAATATTCAAAGTGATGAAAAACAAGGACCTACAACCAAGAGTACCCTAACCAGCAAGCCTGTCATTTAGAATCAAAGGACAGATAAGGAGCTTCCCAGACAAAAAAAAAAAAAGATAAAGTATTTAATCACCACCAAACCAGTATTACAAGAAATGTTAGAGGGAATTTTTTAAGATGAATGAGTATATATATACTGAATGCTCCAATCAGGGGATGGGGTGGCTAAGTGGATGAGGGAACAGGACCCTTACATATACTGCCTGCAGGAGACACACTTCAGATTGAGGGAGATGCACAGGCTGAGGGTAAAGGAATGGGAAAAAATGTTTCATAAAAATGGAAAAAAAAAAAGAAAGCTGGGGTCGCAGTGTTTACACCAGACAAAACAGACTTTAAAATAAATGCTATAACAAGAGACAAAGAAGGACCCAGTAATCCCAATTCTGGGTATTTATCCAAAGAAACCCAAAACGCTACTTCAAGGGGACATGTTCATCCATATGTACATTGCAACACTGTTTACAATGGCCAACATATAGAGGCAGCGTGGGTGTCCGTCGATGGGTGAATGGATAAAGAGTAGATGATATATGTACATTTTGCTCGGCTATGGAAGGGAACGGGTTCTTGCCATCCGTGGTGGCATGGATGGACCTGAAGAGTATTGTGCTGAGTGGAGTATGTCAGACAGAGAAAGACAAATGCAATGTGATTTTGCTTATATGTGAAATCTAAAGAACAAAATAAACAAACAGAACAAAAACAAATTCATAGACACAGAGAACATTTTGATGGTTGCCAGATGGGTGAGGTGAGGGGAGAAAAAGGGGAAAGGATTAAGAAGTACGCATTGGTTGTTACAAAGTAGTCATGGGGGTGTAGGGTATGGCATAAGGAATACAGTAAAACCTTGGATTGCAAGTAACTTGGTTTGCGAGTGTTCTGCAAGATGAGCAAACATTTCTAATACATTTTAACTTGGTGAAAGAGTGATGTCTTGCAATATGAGTAGTTTGTTTCTGGAACAAATTATGCTTGCAAACCAAGGTGTTACTGTATAGTCAATAATATTGTAATAACTATGTATGGCATCAGATGGGTACTATTTATTGAGGTGATAGATGGGAGGAGGTTAGGGGGCAGGGTCAAAAAGGTGAAGGGATTAAGAAGTACAAATTGGTAGTTACAAAATAGTCATGGGGATGTTAAGTAAACTATAGGGAATATAATCAATGATATGGCAATAACTATGTATAATGCAAGGTGGGTACTAGACTAGTCAGGGGGATCATTTCTTAGAGTATGTAAATGTCTAACCACTATGCTCTATACCTCAAATTAATATACAATAATATTGAATGTCAACTGTAATTGAAAATTTAAAAAAAGGAGGGGAGGGCTGGCCAAGTGGCGCGTTGGTTAAGAGTTGGCTTGGAGGCCGGCCGAGTGGCTCAGTTGGTTAAGAGCTCGCTCAAGAGTTTGAGCTCTGAGCAACAGTGGTTCAATGCCCGGCCCGAGCTGAGCAGTCGCTGAGCTGGCAACAGGTAGCAGGATGGCTCAGCTAATAAATAAATAAATAAATAGAGTTGGCTTGGAATGCCAGCTCTGACCAGCAGGGCCCCGGTTCGGATCCCACATGGGGACCAGTGACACTGCCCTCTACAGTTAAGATGGTGAACAACAGCTCAACCTGGAGCTGAGCTGCCTTGAGTCGCCGGTGACAGCATAGGCTGCAGCCCCTGCTACAGTGGGCTGCCATAAGCTACTGTGTGTGGCCAGCAGCCAGCGTGAGCGGCTGGCAGCCAGTGTGAGCTGCCAAGAGCCACCGTGAGCGGCCATCCAGAAGCCGGCAACCAATCTGCCTCACCCAGGAAGAGTGTAATGATAATACCAACATGGGCCAGTGAAGAAACGTCCTCCACAACTAGACTGAAGAACAAAATGACAGCAACTTCTCTGTTCCCCTTCCCCCGATTCCCCAGCGCTGTTCTCCTCCCCCAATTCCCCAGTAAAAATCTTTAAAACATAAAAAAATAAAAAATAAAAAAGGGGGGAAAAGGTAAAGGGTATAAGAGGTCCAAATTTCCAGGTATATAACAAATAAGTCATGGGGATGTAATGTGCAACATAGGAAATATAGTCAGTAATATTGTGATAACATTGTACAGTCAGATGGTTGCTGGACTTACCATGGTGATCACTTCTTTAAGTATATAAGTGTTAAATAACTATTGTGTATACCTAAAACTAATATATGTATGTTAGCTATATTTTAATACAAATTTAAAAAGAAAATGTATTTCCATATTTGATATGAAGACAATCAACACAAGTGAACGAGACTAATCAAATGTGGGCATATCTGAGTTCTGAGTTTGCATATCAGAAATCACACTGACAACAGATTGAGTGCAAACATTTTGCCAAACATCAAAGTCAAGTTTGGATTTGCAGGTTGGCAGCTGTGAAGAAATATCCCGCCACAATGAGGAAATCAGGGAGAAGATGAGTCATTGGGATACACAAGCAGTACAGAATGGGACAAGAAATGGCCACCCTCATTGGTAAGAGCATGGAGTCCAACATTCTGGGAATCTCTCCACCCCTAGCCATTGGTGCTATAGCCTCAAACCCCACTGTCCTCTATTTAAAGTCCGACAGCGTGCCCTTGTCACACAGGCTCAGGGTGCAGCCCAGGCCCTGGCCCCTTCTTGCTGAGTGGCCTTGGCTGAGAGTCTGCCCCTCTCTAAGGCTCAGTTTTCTCCTCTGCACAACAGGGGTGCTTGTAGTCCTCATCTAAATGCAGCTGCACATCCTCCCTCTCCAAGGCACTTGCTTCCCCAACTGCACCACCACCTGGGGGGCCTCCTGTGTGGTGAGGGGAATGGAGAGCCTAGGAGGCCTGGGGAGGAGTGGGGGAGGGCAGTGGGTCAGGGGCTGAGTCTGGTTGTCTCCACCCAAAGTTTTTATTCCAGAGCAATCTTTACCCCAGGGGTGAGGCAGAGTGAGGTGGGCTGCTAGGCTGTAGCAGGGGTATCTGCTCAGCTCCCCACCTTCTCTCTCCCCTACCTTCCAGAATCATCTTTCAGCATTCTCCCACACCCCCACCATACCTTCCCTATCCTAAATTCCTGTTTTTGAGTCTTGGGCTATGGGGCCTGGAAATGGGCCTGGGTGGAGGGTCCCACTTTGTTCTCTTCCTTGGTCTGGGGGTTGGGTGGGTCCCAGGACACCCCCACACTCCACCCCCTTGTCTTAAAAACGAGGTAGGAGAGTGGTAGTAGTTGTGGGAGGCAGAAAAAGAGACAGATGTAAAGGAGAGAAGCAGGACAGGAAAACACGGAAGGCAGCGTCAGAGACAGGGACACAGAGACACAGACACAGAGTGACAGAGAGACTAGGGCACTCCCAGAGAGAATAAAGAAGACAGAAAGTTCCAGAGATGAAGAAAGCCAGAGACACAGGCACCATAGTACTGCACAGCTGTGTGCTTTGGGCAGATTGCTTCCTTTTTTTGAGCCTCAGTTTCCTTGTCTGTAATGTGGGGGCGACCCATGCCCGCTTCTCAACAGCGTGTGTGTGCACCAGTAATGTCTTGCATGTGCTCGGCAGACTCAGAGGCTTAGTAAATGGCAGCTGTTGTTATTTTTTCTTCTTTCTTTTGCCCATATTTTCTGAGCACTTACTGTGTGCCAGGCACCGCTGCAGACGCCAGGGTACAGCATTAAATATCAGGCACAAATCCTGCTGCTTAGAGCTCCCTTTTCCAGTATTGTTGTTGCCATGGTAATCGTTATATTATAGAAGCATAGACTGGAATTTCATGGAGACACAGCCCTAGCCCCATGCAGCAATTCCGAATCTGAGTTCCAGTCCGCCACTTAGCCATATGGGACTCAAATTTTCATGACAAAATGTGCATAACTGTATTTCTGTGTGCCAGGCAGCAGGAAGATAAGCTAGATGGATGGTAGCTCAATGAGCCTTCTCTGTTGTTGTTGTTATTATTATTATTATTATTAAATTGTCTCTATCATTATTAGCTCAAAGGAGAGAGGCAGTTCACCTGGGAACCCTCAGTGAATGGAGGTGGATCAGAAGCCCCAGGGTCTGAGCCAGGTGTGGGTGTTGGGTGTGGAAAGGGATGGGATGAGTCAGCAGGGCAAGCCACACCTGCTTTGGTTAAGATCCCAGCAGCCATACCACCACCACCATTGCCTGTCCCACCGTTGTAGCCATGGCAGGGACCTGTGTGAGTGTTTGGGAACCCAGGGTTTGGGAGGGTTTTGGACCCAAGGCTGCACCAGACTAGGGGAGGGTCTACAGCTTGGATGAGGTCACCTGTTTCAAAGGAGAAAGTGGGTGTTCGGGTGTGCTTTGAAGTTTTGGGTGCTGGCTTCTGGGTGCACCCAACCCATCCTAACGCTCCCATCTCCTCGTGGTGCCGCCTTTGGTTTCTCTCTCTTTGAATATTTTTCTGTTAATTCTTTGTGTTTCGCTCTCCAACCCTTTCCCTGTCTCTCTCTTTCCTTCTCTCTGTGCCCTTCTTTCTCTCTGATTCTGCTGGTCGACATCCTGGTTGTTTTCTCCTGGGGTGGCCCATCTGTCTCTCTGGCCTGTCTCCCTGGTTTACTTGCCCCCACACCCTGCCTTTTGCAGAATGTGCCCCACAAGACCTCGCTGCCCGAGGGCATCAGAATCGGCACCGTGATGAGAATTCGTGGCGTTGTCCCTGAGAAAGCTGGCAGGTGAGACCCCAGTGTGATTTCATGCCCCCCAGGTAAGGGGGTGATGGGAGTTCTCCAGGCTCATCTGAGCCTACTTCTTACAGCTGAGATGTGAGGGCCCCAGGATCACCTTTGCCCAAAAGGGTCTTAGAATCCCCAGGCCATTTCCAACCTTCTAGAACCTGATTTCTTAACAAATCTGTCTCCTGACTGTGGAACTGGGGTTCCTAAGAATCTGGGAGTTCCAGGGTAATGTCAGGGGTCCTATCTATAGTCCTACGTCTTCCAGACTGAGTTCCCGGAACTCTGGAAATATGTCCTGTGATCTGGAGGTGCCCTGGGCACCTGGGAGGCTTAAGCAATCACTCCTATGACTTCCTAGGTCTGGGAAATTCAAGCTTCCTGGGAATAGGGTGCCTGTAAATCTTAGGGTCACTGGTATATTTCTCAGCCCTTGGGAATTGGGAGCACCCTGGCCATCAGCACCAGACTCCTCCATCAAGTCCCAAGCTGTGGGAATGAGGGGGACCCTGGCCATAGCACGGTGGCCCTTGCTAGATGGATCGTATCTAGGCTCCCAATAAGTGTTTGGCCACCTTGGAACTTGGGTTCTCTGGCCACCCGCCCACAATCCCTCCTGTATGGTCCCTGTAAATTTGGATACATTCTTGCACTAGTTAGTCCCAGTCCTTTGGCTCCTTACTTAAGTAACACCCCCACCACCAGGTTTTATGTAAACCTGCTGTGCAGCGAGGAGGAGGGCAGCGAGGCCGCTCTGCATTTCAACCCTCGGTTGGATGAGTCCGTGGTGGTCTTTAACACCAAGAAGGGGGGCACCTGGGGCCAGGAGGAGCGCGGCCGTGGCATTCCTTTCCAGCGTGGGCAGCCCTTCGACGTGCTCCTCATTACCACTGAAAAAGGCTTCAAGGTGCGTCTCTGCTACAGGGGTGGGTGCCGACTACCAGGTCACTCCTGGCCAAGGCTGGGCAGGTTGTCCCCAGTCCCTCTCACTCCCGTGGTGCAACCCCACTAGTGTCAGAGGGCAAGTGTGTGCAGGGCAAGGACAAAGTGAGGAAGAGCAAAGTGCCCAGAGGGTGGGTGTCCTAGCGAAGAGGCGTGGCCCCGACTTCCACCCCAGACCCTACTCCCTGTTCAATGCCACCTGAGGTCGGGGCTCTACGGTAGGGGCAAGGACGGACTGGGAGACAGGGCTCAGAAATAAGTCCCAGCGGGACTGGTCGCTGCAGACCTTCCACCACCCAGCCGTTCACCACTTTAAATCTGTGCGTCCGGAGTGAGGAAGTGGACGCCGTGTTCGTGGCAATAACATCCGCTGCCAACAGTTACAAAGCGCTCTTGTGCCAACAGTAAACTCACTGCATCCTCAGGACAAGGGGTTAGATGAACATTCGCTTGTTTTCCCATTGGGGATCTGGGGCCCGGCGGGTTACGTGGTTGCCCAGTCACATGGCGCGGGTCCGAGTCGGGAAGGAGCCCCGCAGTGGCCTCGGCAACCTTAATTTAAGCACGGACCCCTCGGCTCTGCAGGCGGTGGTCGGAGACTCGGAATACCATCATTTCCTCTACCGCATCCAGCCCGAGCACGTGCGCGTGATGGAGGTGGGTGGGGACCTGCAGCTGGAGTCGGTGAAGATCTTCTGAGCCTGCGAGGGGATCGAGTCCAGGACCTGGATGGCAAATAAAGCCCTACCTTCTTCTCTGGGCTCCTTATCTGTGTCTGTGTCTCCTTCTTGTAGACGAGGGAAGCAGTTCAGAGGGGTTGGACACTGACGAGTCACACAGCTATTCCGTGGCCGAGTGGGTGTCAGGGCCTGGATCTGCGAGGCAGCTCCTGTCTAGACAGCTTAGGAGGGGAGGGTCTTGGGCTCATCCTACCGCAGCTATTTGCAAAGGAGCAGGTAGTCATGCGGTTGGGGTGATCTGGTGGAGTTTGGGGTGCTCAAGCCCTCTCTGGGTGCCCCCTCCGCATATCTAACGGAGCTCCACATCCGTCCATATGCAAACAGGGGGCTGAGGTCCCACACGACTGGCCCCTTGGAGACCCCAGGTTCTTGGAGATGGGGTATGAGATCTCTCAGGCCCCCGCGCCGCTCCTCCCATTCCCACCTCCCCGGGCTCCTCCGACCTCTCGGTGCCTGGAGACACCCGGGCGGATCCGGGCGTCGCCCTTCTCCCATCTGTCCCTGAGTCCGGATAGGCTCCCGCCCGTGAGCGCCCCGGGGCAGACGCGCAGTGAAGCGGCAGGTGCCGCGCGGCCGGCCCGGGATACGAAGGGCGGAGCTCCTGTGTCCCCTCTGCCAATCCCCACACTTCTTCCCCTCGGCTCCCCAGAGTGGTTCTGGACAGGAAGGGAAGCGGGCGCTTTGGTACAGACCCCCAGTTTACCCCTGGCCGCCAGGTGGTGATTGGTGTCAGGGGGGTTGCCAGTCGCCACCAAACGGCCGGGGTGGAGGGTGGGGGTATCCAGAGCGAGGACCTTGAGCCCGCACCCTCCGCTATGCGCTCGTATCGGCGTGTATCTGGGCTGTGGGATGGAGCCTGGCCGGTTGGCAGGGGCCAGCCCAGCACCTTGGATTGGGTCCCGAGTCCCGGGAAAGCCCGGAGCCGCGCCCCGGTGGGTTGTGTCTCTGCATCGCTCCCCGGACTTTGCGAATCTTGTTACTTGTCGTCCCCTTGTGGCCGCTGCGGACATTGCAATCTGGGCGATTTGTGCAGGAGCTGGTTCTGTTACTTTGGTTTCGACAGCAGCGGAGTGCAAAATCCTGCATTACCACAAAGACTGGGCGAAGTTCGAGAATTTTCAGGCATTCATTGGTACTCAGGGCTTATTGTTAAATGAATTAATTTTTATTTTGTCTGTGTCATGTAGTTTTTGAACATTGAAAAAATTTGTAAAGATAATATATCCACATAAGCTACAAATTTCAAAAAAATACAATGAGGGCCGGCCGAGTGCTGGCTTGGGACGCCAGAAGGCCCCGGTTCTGATCCCACATATGAGGGCCAGTGACACTGCCCTCCACAGCTAAGATGCTGAACAACGGCTCAACCTGGAGCTGGGTTGCCATGGGTCGCCGGCAACGGCGTAGGCTGCAGCCCCTGTGGCAGTGGGTTGCCATGGGCTACCGTGTATAGCCAGCAGCCAGCGTGAGCTGCCGTCCAGAAGCCAGGACTGATTGGCCTCGCTAGGAAGAGCGCAATGATGGTGTCAATTTGGGCCAGTGAAACGTCCTCCACAACTAGACTGAAGAACAAAAAGACAGCAACTTGTCTGTTTCCCTTCCCCCAATTCCCCAATAAAAATCTTAAAAAAAAAATACAATGAAAAGTAAGACACTATTTGGATACCTGGTAAAGGTGGTTAGGGTCTGAGGATTAGATAGTGATTAGGTAAAGATCCATCTGTGTTAATTTCCTGATTTTCACCTCAGTCGTACCGTGTGTATAGTGCAGAATGTTCTTTTTTTGCACAAAATACAAAGTAAAGTATTTGAAGGTGAAGAGGCAGCCTGTTGGCAACTTATTCATAAATGGCTCAGGAAAAAACTGAACTTTGTACTGTACTTAATATTTTTTGTTTTTCACTTCAAATATATATCTCATACATGTATCTCCTAAAGATTCCCTCCAAAATTGTTGAAACAAAAATACTTGTGGGCCGGCCCAGTGGCGCGCGTTGGTTAAGAACTGGCTTGGGACGCTAGAGGGCCCTGGTTCGGATCCCACATATGAGGGCCAGTGACACTGCCCTCTGCAGCTAAGATGGTGAACGGCAGCTTGACCTGGGGCTGGGCTGCCTGTGGGTCGCCGGCGTCTGCATAGGCTGCAGTCCCCTGCTGCAGTGGATTGCCATAAGCTACCGTGTGTAGCTGGCAGCCAGTGTGAGTGGCCGGCAGCCGCCGTGCAGCCACCGTGAGCGGCCATCCAGAGGCCAGCGACTAATCTGCGTCACTGGGAAGAGCACAATGATGGTGCCAGCTTGGGCCAGTGAGGCAACATCCTCCACAACTAGACTCAAGAACAAAACAACAGTGACTTGTCTGTTCCCCTTCCCCCGATTCCCCAGTGCTGTTCTCCTCCCCCAATTCCCCAATAAAATCTTTAAAACAAAAAAACAAAAAACTTGTTAAATGAATTTAGCAAAGTCCAGAATACATAGTCAAAAAACAAAAATCATTTGCAATTCCATACATTAACAATGAACAATCTGAAAATGAAATTAAGGAAACAATGTCCATTCACAATAGCACCAAAAAGAATAAACTATTTAGGAATTAACCAAGGAGATGAAAACACATGTACAATGAAAACTACAAAACAATCCTGAAAGACATTAAAGAAGACATTTAAATGAATGGATTGACATCCCATGTTCATGGATGGGTGACAACATTTTTAAGATGTTAATAGTACCCAAAGCAGTCTACAGGTTCAATGCAATCCCAATGAAAACCTCAATGACTTTTTGTGGAAATTTTAAGATGGGTTTTTTAAAAAAAAACCATCTTAAAATTCATATGGAATCTGAAGGGAACCTGAATAGAGAAAAATTTTGAAAAAGAAGAACAAAGCTGAAGGATTCACACTTCCTGATTTCAAAACTTACTACAAAGCTACAATAATCAAAGTAGTGGGTACTGGGATAACAACAGCTACATAGACCAATGGAATAGCTCAGAGACCAGAACAACTCTTACATGTATGGTCAAAGGATTTTTGATAAGGATTCCAAGATCATTCAATGGGGAAAAAGACAGTCTTCTTAACAAATAGTACTTAGAACACTGGATATCCACATGCAAAAAAATGAAATTGGACTCTTCCCTAACACTACATATAAAAATTAATCAAAAATGAATCAAAGACCTAAATATAAGAGGTAAAACTATAAAATTATTGGAAGAAAACATAGGACAAAAGCTTCATGGCTTTGTATTGGGCAATGCTTTCTTGGATATGACACTAAGAAAAAAGAAAAAGTAAACAAATTGGACTTCATGAAAATTAAATTTTTTTGTGCATCAAAAAAATGCTCCCACAGAGTAAAAAGGCAAGCCACAAAATGGGAGAAAATATTTTCAAATCATATATCTGATACATCCAGAATATATAGATAACTCTTAAAACTGAACAACAATATTAACAAATGGGCAAAGGACTTGAATAAACATTTCTCCAAAGAAAATACACAAATGGCCAGTAAGCACATTAAAAGATGCCATATCACAGACCAATATCACTAATCAGTAGGGAAATGCAAATCAAAACTACAAGATATCACATCACACCCATTAGGATGGCTACTATAAAAAAAAAAAGAAAAACAGAAAATAACAAGCGTTGGCAAGGATGTGGAGAAATGGGAACGCTTGTGTACTGTTGGAGGGAATGTAAAATGGTGCAGCTGCTGTGCAAAACAGTATGGTGGGTCCTCAAAAAATTAAACATAGAATTATTATATGATCCAGCAATTTCATGTTTGGGTATATTTCCCAAAAGAACTGATAACAGAGTGTCAAAGAAATATTCATACACCCATGTTCATGGCAGCATTATTCATAATGGCTAAAATGTGGAAGCAATTCAAGTGTCTATCAACAGATAAAGGATAAGCAAAATGTGTTATATACATGCAATGGAATATTATTCAGCCTTTGAAAGAAAGGAAATTTTAACACATGCTACAACATGGATAAACCTTGAAGACATTATGCTAGGTAAAATAAGCCACTGACAAAAAGACAATAGTGTATGATTCCACTTAGAGGTACTTAGAGTAGTCAAACCATAGAAACGGAAAGTAGAATGGCGGGTGCCAGGGGCTGAGGGGCAGAGGAACTGGAGAGTTATTTTTTAATGGGCATAGAATTTCAGTTTTACAAGATGGAAAGAGTTCTGAGATGGATGATGGTGATGGTTACACAACATTAAGAATGTATTTAATACTACTGATCTATACATTTAAAGATGGTTAAAATGGTAATTTGTTATGTGTATTTTATCACAATTTAAGAATTATATATATCCTCCTTTCTGGGAGGAAACTGCTGTTACTCATGTTCTATGTAACTTTCAAAAAACCTTCTATTCTTCTGTAAACATATGCAGTTTCTTTTCCCTCTTTGCATGAACAGTAGCATTCTCCACCCACTGCCCTCGTTTTTGTCACTTAGCAATAAATATGTGTCCAACTTCATTCACTTTGCTGGCTGCTTAGTGCTCCATCACAAAGAGGAGCATAATGAATGTCACTTGGGCCCTCCTGGGTGTCTGGTGGTGTCACACCATCCACTAAAACCAAACTGTACTGCAGTGAGTGTCCTTGGACTTACGTCAGCCAATAGTTTTTTACTTTCTTTTATCATCTCCATTCAAATTATAAAATGCGTGCATACTTATTGCAGGATTTTGAGTAAGAAAATTAAAATTACCCACCATTTTACCACTCTGAAATAATCACTCTTACTACATTAGTGTGTTTCCTTCTAGTCTTCTTTCTATAATAATTTATCTACACTATATTTTGGGCAAAATTGGGACTCATATTATATGAGGTTGGACAATTAAGTTCACGAACTAATCCTACTCATTGCTGAATATCACTATGGTCACCTTCGAAGTACTCCCCTTGGGAAGCTGTGCACCAATGCCAGCACCTAGTCAACCCGTCAAAGCAATT